TTTATTATTATTTTTTTAATTTGCTATATAGAGCATATACTCTCACCAGAGAGAGACAAAGAGGGAGACACAGAGAGAGAGAGAAAGAGAGAGAGAGAGAAACAGAGAGAAAGAAAACAAGCCATCAGCTCTGGGACTTGAATCATGGTTGGCCATGTGGGAAGCTAGTGCCTTAACCACCATGCTACCTGCTGGCCCCCTAGCAAGCACCTTTTAAAATAAATTGAGTAGTAATGGTGATGATATTGCCTCTTTTCTGATTTAATGAAAATGCTTCATTTCCTTATTAAGAACTCAACTAACAATTCCAAGGGGCTTGAAGGAAAATGTGCAGTGCTTGTTGGGTTAAACACCCCTGTTTACACATGCTTCTACTAAGTAACTCCTTCTCAACCAACAGCTGTCAAAATTTATTGAGGTTGACAATGAATACCAATGCCATACCTTTTATGAGAAGCCTGTGGACACAGAAGTTGCTACTGAGGCTTTGGGGGAAGAATGGAGGGTTTATTGGGGCTAGCAGCTGGTGTGGTGGTGAATGGCACTGGACTCCCACATGGCTGACCACGGTTTGAGTCCTGGACTTGGTGGCTTGCTTTCTCACTTTCCCTTTCTCTTTCTCTCTCTCTCTCTCACTCTGTCCCTCTCTGACCAAATTAAAAATAAATAAATAAATAATTCTTAAAAAAAAAAAGAAAGGTTTATGAAGTCTGAGTTGGTAATCAAATGACAAGGTTTCCCCATGAAGCACGGTGTCTTGACCCATAGTGTGTCTACCTGATACTGAACAAGGGATATTCTTGTTATAGATGAAGAATAACTGGAGAAAAAAAAGAAATGCAAACAAGTTTGGGGTTGCATTGTGAATACCAATCTGAGCATTCTTAACTTGGTTATTATGGGGAGAAAAAAAAAGGAGAAAAGAGCTAATTGACACTATGGTTCCTCATCACCTGGAGTTCAAAAAAGCTAGTAGAATCCAAAAACTTTCCAATCTCTAAAGATTATGTCTGTCAAAATATTGTAAGAAAGTCTATAAACAAAGAAGAAACCTAGGACCATAGCACCCAAAACTCACATCTCTGACTCCATTTGTCCTGCCACACAAATGCCAGACTATTGCTCTCAAGAAATGGAGCACTGGGGCTGGCAAGTGGCATCATGGTTAAGGTGCTGAACTTTCAAATGGCTGACCATCCTTGGAGTCCTGGACCTGGCAGCTTGCTTTCTCTCTCTCTCTCTCTCTCTCTCTCTCTCTCTCTCTGTGTGTGTGTGTGTGTGTGTGTGTTACTCTCTGGTGAGTGCATGTGCCCTTCAGCAAAATAATAATAATAATAATAATAATAATGATAAATAAAATTTTTATAAAAAGAAACAGGGGCCAGCAGGTAACATGGTAGTTAAGGGTACTAGACTCCCACATGGCCAACTGTGGTTTGAATCCGGGAGCTGGCAGCTTGCTTTCTCACTCCCCCCCACCCCCACCTCACTCTGCCCCTGTCTGGTCAAATTAAAATAATGTTAAATAAAATAATTCTTTTTTAAAAAAAGTACTAAGAAAAATAAGGAAAAGGCAGAAGAATATGCTAAATTTTTGGCCAAGAGAATGAAAGGATCCAAAGAAAAATACCAAGGAACATATAATGCTTTTTTTTTTAACTTTGTTTGCTTGTTTGTTTATTTAAATTTTGACCAGAGAGGGTCACCTGCCAGCCCCCCAAGATCAGATCTTAAAAAAAAAAAACTCCAACAGGCTTTTAAGAGTCAGACTTATTTTCTTGCATACTTTCTTGTGTAGTCCCCACTATTACTTTTTTTTTTTTTTGGAGAGATTTTCACTGTAGGGCACGTGCGCTCTCCAGACAGACAGAGAGAGACATAGAGACAGAAAGTGAGAAATCACCCCCCCAGGGGGAATGGTCATGCCGCAATCCCTTCTCCTCCATTCTCCTCTCGGGATCTTGGGCTCGCACGCACACGCGCCCAGCGTGAGTTTTAAGCCACCGGGTCCGGGACACGAACCGCGGTTGACTACGTGGGAGTCCAGTGACATAGCCATTACGCTAACTGCTGGTTCCCCCCACTATTACTTTTATTAAGTCATAACAGGTACTTATTCCCAATGAAGAGAGTGAATTTCAGTGTAGGAAGAATATGAGGGAATAATATAGTTTGGGAAATGGAAGGCATAGCCTCTCAGCATAGACTTGTAGACATAATGGACTGGAATGAATATAATCTATGCATAAGAAAATTCAGATAAAATCTCATCCTGATTTCCACTTCTGAGAACCTTTGACAAATACTCAAATGATTTTAATTCTACTCAGAACACCAAGTCCTGATCTTCAAAAAATACTGCCACTATTATGTTTCCTACCCCACACTGTTTAATTTTTACATATGAAAGTCTTAACATGAAAGAATGCTCATGTGGTAATCATTATAAAGTCTCAAACTCAAGACTGAGTAATGATGACAAGTTGTTTTGGCTACCTGCTTTACGACAGAAACCTCTCTCTCTCACTCTGTCCTCTTTCTCTCTCACACATGCCAGTAATAATCTTCTGAGGAAAGTGGCTCCAGCCATTAGAATCTGCATATTTCTTTAGCTTTGCCAGTACATTAGCTCTAATCAAACTGAATTACTATACTCAGAAACCTGTGTCATTTTCTTATTCCCTTCTCTTACTACATTCAATCCTCTAGCAAGTTCTAATATTTGCTGCTATAATGGCATGTTAAATATATTTCTCTCCATTTCAACCATCAATATACTAATTCAATTCACTGTTGTCTGTAAAGAGCAGCCAATCTGAGAAAACATGGTGACCTTTAGAGCATTTGCATATGAAAAATGCTATCTGTCTGTTGTTGGTTATTCTCTTGTTGTTGTGAATATCAGGCTAAAGGAAACCACAGGGGTTTATCAGATTTCACCCCAAAATGATCATAGAAATTACATGGAGTCAGTTGTTTTTGCATATTCAGAAGATTTACATCCTAAAGCAACTGGCTTTGCATTCTATTTCCTCTTCCTCTTTAAAATAATAAACCTGAAGCTGGTTTCTGGTCATGACTTTTTTCATTCAGAGAAGTCAGGCCCACTGGATCCTTGCCTTTTTATACTTGTGCATATTCCTGTGTTTATTTTATGTTTATTTCTATTCCACAGCATCCCCACTCAGAATTTCCATTCAGCCAAGCGGGTCTCAGCAGTTGTCTCTTCCTTGGATACCACAATTTCCTTCTTCTAAAAATCTCTCAGGAGGCCAGCAGTTGGCATAATGGCTATGTCACTGGACTCTCATGTAGTCAACTATGGTTCAAGTCCCAGATCCAGTGGCTTAAACTCACACTGGGCACATGTCCGTGTGTGCCTAAGATCCCTAGAGGAGAATGGAGGAGAAGGGATTATGGCGTGGCTATCTCTCCTGGGGAGGGGTAAGGTGATTTCTTGCTTTCTGTCTCTCTGTCTCTCTCTCTCTGTTTTTCTGGCACTTGCCAACACCCTGTAGCAAAAATCTGTCAAAAAAAAAAAAAAAATCTCTCTCAGGACCAGATGGTATAATGGTTGTAAGGTCTGGGGGAATGGAAGAGAAACATGATGGAAACTATCCCAATGGCAGGAACTTTCTTGTTTTCCGCATCTGGCCCGCCATCACCAGCGGACTTTTCTGCCCTTCAGCATTTGGCCTACCTGCCAAAACTGAACAGAAACAGCGACCTTCATTGGCCAGACAAGAACCTGTGGAAACCACCTATTGGACAATGTCCCTTTAAGAATGAGCAGCACCCACCCTGAGTATGACTCCCTCTGCCTCTGATCAGACCGAGGGACCTCACCTGAAAGCTTTTTGCAGAATGAATTTTGCTGGTTTTATTAAACCCCAAGGCCTGACTCTGGTATTTTCGTCTTTGTTGCCTCTAACTCTGCTACCAATCCCAAATCAAACCTAACATCTGGTGCCAAAACCCCGGAGGGGCTGGATGCCTCTTGGTTAAAGGCCCTCCATCGGATCTCTAATGAGGTCATCCAGCTGGGAAGGTATGCGACCCCACTCCCATTTTTCAGACCTCCAGAGTTTTCCTGTCTGTAGTCATGGCCATGCCAGGAACACTCCCCATCCATTCCAGGTGCTCCAGGGGTACCCTAAGGATCGTCTAGTCTTGGGGATGCCTGGATGACACTTGCCTTCACCCTCCTATCTGTGGAGAGATTTTATCAAAGGGGGACGCCTCTCGGCTCATTCTCTCTACCTGAGGTCTAATCCCTCATTGGGTCTGCTGCCTCCCAACCTGATCCCCAAACACCTTTAGGGTGTGTCCTCTGTATTCAAAACACCACCTGGTCTTCCTGTAGACCATGGCTTGGCCCAAATATTTACTAAACAATGGATCAATCTGGCTGCCTGAGGGCACTTTTGATTTCAATGTCTTGACCAATCTTACCCATTTTTGTCAGAGTAATGTCAAATGGATGGAAGTCCCATATGTTCAGGATTTTTGGAATCCACACTCTTGACCCCACCTCTGTACTACTTGCTCTCCCTCACAGATTTTGCTTGCTAACGCCAGTGAGGGCTGAAAATCCACTCCTAGCCTTTCCAAGGAAACTTCTGAACTCCCTGAATCCTCTGTTCTCCTGGAATCTCTCTCCTCTTCACCAAGACCGCCTCCTAACCCCCGATTAAACTTTCCCAAACTATCTGCCCACCCACCTCCCTACCCTGAGAATCCTTCTCCCCCTCCCCCCATGGCCAACAGTCCCTCTGTCTTCCCCCATTTCTGGCTGTACACACTCAAATGACCCATCCCCATCCCAAGTCATGGCTCCCCTATGGGAAGTGGCTGGAGCTGAGGGAGTCATTTGAGTCCATATTCCTTTTTCCCTTGCGGATCTGTCCACCATGAGAAGTGCTTTGGCTCCCTCTCTGCCAACCCCACCCAATTTATCAAGGCATTCCGATATCTTACACAGGCCTATACTATAACCTCACCTGGCATGACGTCTGTGTAATTATGACATCCACCATGATGGCGGATGAGCGTGACTGGGTACAGAAGGCAGAAGAGAGTATGCTGACAGGGCCCACATGGCGGACGCCACCGCAGCGATATGTACTGAGGCAATCCCTGCAGTTAATCCTGGCTGTAGATATCAGGAAGGTGAACCTGGCCACTGGCGATGCGACTACATGTTGCGAATGCCTTAGAGCAGAGATGAAACAAACAGCCCAGAAAGTAGTAAATTATGACAAATTGTGAGAAGTCACCCAGGGTCGAGAAAAAAAAATCCAGCCATGTGTTTGCGCCACCTCACTGAGGCTATGCAACTCCATACCCGACTCTACCCAGAAAATCCTGTTGGGGCAGTAGTTCTGGCCACCCATTTTATCACCCAGTCAGCCCCTAATATCAGGAAAAAACTTAAAAAGGCTGAACAAGGCTCTCAAACCCCCATACAAAACCTGGTGAATACAGCAATTAAAGTTTTCAATTCCTGAGAGGAGGACGCTGAGGTAGGCCATCACAAACAGGCCAAACAGATGGCTGCCATGCAAGCCCAAGCCCTGGTGGCTGCCCTGTGGCCAGCATCTCAAAAGGGGGTTCCTAAGTGCAGTCTTCCCCTGGGAAACTACTTCAAATGTGGCAAGACAGGCCACTGGGCCCGTGAATGCCCGGATCCCAGGTCGCCCACTAAACCTTGCCCAGGGTGTGGCAAAATGGATCCCTGGGGCTCTTGACTGCCCCAAAAGAGGGAGATGAGATCCACTCCCAAAGCCTCCATGCTGAGAGGAAATCAACCACCCCGATTTCAACCTGTCCATGATGGGATTGGCTGAGGATTATCATACTCGACTATCCCAAACTCTCCCCGAGCCCAGGGTCCAGCTCCAGGTAGCAGGTAAGCCATTCACCTTCCTGGTGGACATGGGGGCTACCTACTCCGTCCTCTTAACATACCTTGGCCCCTTATTACACTCCCAGGTCTCTATTGTGAGTATTGATGGCCAGCCCTCATGTACTCTCTACTGAATCCTTAGCCTGCCGACTCAGAAAAATGTACTTAACCCACTCTTTTCTTGTCATTCCCACATGCCCCACACCCCTCCCAGACCATTAACGTCCTTCCAAAGTTACACGTCACCCTTAAATTTAACTCCTCCCTCTTTCTTGGCCTCCTCTGCCAAGCTGCCTCTTTCCCCCACTGGACTTAATTCCCCTCCCCCACCCATTGCTCCAGACCAGGTCAACCCCATAGTCCCAACTCTTAGAGAAACCCTCTTCTTTCCCTCATGGCAGAAGCCTATGTCATCTTTACCATACTCCTATAATTACCTATTCCTGGCCCTCCCCATAATGCTGGCCCTAGTTCTCTCTGTTGGACTGGCTGCAGTGGCCCCACAGAAATGAGTGTTCTGGAAAAGGCTTTTTACTAGCAGTGTTATACCTCCTACCTGTGGGAATTACGGTAAGTCTAAAATGTCTGGACTGGCTAACCAGGGCTGCCTCCTCCCCATGCAGTTAGCCACGCCCAGCCTCCTCCTCCTTCTCATGGCCTTTGGAATGGACTCCACCTTGACAGTTACGGGTGGGAATTCCAGGTATAACACACATGGGGTAATCAAGGTATTATCAATAAGACTTCTTGGGAGAAGACACCTTCATGGCTCCTGAGAACTAGTGATTACAGGGGAATAAGAGAAATGAAGATTTTCCACTGATAATTCAGCTGCCACCTCACAAACTTGAGTGGTAGGAAGCCTTTCAAGCCTCTTGTCTCTCTCTGTCTCTCTCTACTTCAGGAAACCCACCCACCCCTCACCACAATCCTTTCTCCTTCACTCTCCTCTCAGGATTTTGGGCACACATACACACACATCCAGAGTGAGTTTTAAGCACCAGGTCAGGACTCGAACCTCGGTGGACTATGTCAGAGTCCAGTGATGCAACTGCTACACCATCTGCTGGTCCCATTTTCCCACATTTTAAATCTCCCTATTAATGATCCTATTGGCTATTTTATGTTTAAAGTATCTAAAATCGTAAGCCTTAGTAAAGGCATAATTGAACTTTAAATAGTTTAAGGAATATATATCAGAATTAATAATTAAGTTGGGAATCAGCAGTTACGTAATGGCTATGTCGCTAGACTCCCATGTAGTCGACCTTGGTTCGCGTCCTGGACCCGATGGCTTAAAACTCACGCCAGGTGCGTGTGCGTGCGTGCCCAAGATCCCAGGAGGAGAATGGAGGAGAAGGGATTGCGGTGTGGCCATCCCCCCTGGGGGGTGATTTCTCGCTTTCTGTCTCTATGTCTCTCTCTCTCTCTCTGTCTGGTGAGCGCACGCGCCCTATAGCAAAAACCTCTCTCAAAAAAAAAAAAAAGAATTAATAATTAAGTTTAAATACTCAAGAAAAAAAATTGGTTATTGTTCAAGGGGAGTTGGTGATACCAAAAAGTGAAAGAAGACTCTAGTAAAGCACTGCACAGGGGTGCACTATAGGGTAAACTTACATGTGAGAAAGGGTCAGGGAGACAGTGACCCCCAAGACACTCGCAGCTTCAACCTGGTGCTCCTCACTCTGCTATACTTAGTTTGCCTTTTGTAGCTCACCCCCAAACAAGCCGAGGCTTTTAAATAAATTCAAAAGGTCTACACCTGGTGTAGGAACGTGTTTGCCCCAGAGTTCCCCAATCATCAGTCTGTCTTAACCAAAGCAAGCTGGGTCAGGGAGTTTGAAGAATTTTGGCTTATTATACACATTGGCACTCCATTGACTTTTTTTTTGTTTGTTTGTCTTCTTAACAAAAAGTTTATTATGAAAATGTACATGACCTGGTTTTTACATCATAGTAAAAATGGGCCTGTTGACAAGGGGACATGTTTTTTTCTGCCGAACAGCCATTATTTATACTCGTTCCAAGGCTTCTAAAATGATGATACTATTTCCTTGTATTACCACCATTCCAATATTGTTCTGTTACCCACTAGTTGCCATCTCCACACATTCATCTATCACAAGATTCATAAATGGATCAGATCCCCGCAATATTCCTTGGACATGTCTGCCACCATTTAATTTTAATGATAACTTCTTGTCCATAAATTTTTTCAGTTCAGGAGGGTAAGCTTTGCTCATGGTACCAACTCAGCGGGCTCAGAGATGCCTTTCCTGTTGCCTTTTCACGTTGGTAGAATTAACATAAAGCAGAGTAATCTTAGAGAGTAACACAAACTTACTAAAGCAATCTGTACATGTTTCTTCTGTGCAACCAAAAAGAAACTAAACAATACTATTATCATTTTCTAAGTACTTATTATTCTTTCGCCAAATATTTACTAGAGAACCAACTATGTGCGAGTCATTGTGGTAAATGCTACAGACTGAACTGAACAAAAAGGCAAGAAGCTGCCCCTGCTTTCATAAATTTTAATGTAGAAACAATGAAGAAAATTAAAATGCTACCACACATTTAATGCATATATATCAAATTGCTTTCACACAACATATACAATTAAAGTCCTACATTTGGGGGCTGGCCCTGTAGCCTGGTGGTTAAGGGAATGGAATTCTACATGGCCTACTATGGTCTGAATCCTAGCCCAGAGGCTTGAAAGACATGCCAGATGTGTATGAGTGCTCAAAATATTTTTTAAAAAATTATTTTATGTGTTATTATTATTTTAAGTTTGTTGTAGGGCATGTGTGCTCATCAGAGAGAGACAGAGAGGAAATTAAAATAATAAATTAGGGCTGGCAGGTGGCATGGTGGTTAAGGGTGTGGGCGTCCCAGACCTGGTGGCTTGTTTTCTCACTTTCCCTCTTTCTCTTTTTCTCACTCTGTCTCTCTCTGATCAAATTAAAATAAATAAATGAATAAATAAAATTGTAAAAAGTGATTAAGGGATCAGCAGATGATGCAATGGTTATGTTGTTGGATCCCATGTAGTTGACCATGGTTTGAGTCCTGGACCCAGCAACTTAAAACTCATGCCAGACACGTGTGCATGTGTTCCCAAGAGCCCAAGAAGAGAATGGAGGAGAAAGGATTGCTGCATGGCTATCCTCCCCGGGGGTGGGGTGGGGCATTTATCACTTCTGTTTCTCTGTCTCTCCGGCACACATGCTCCATAGGAAAAATCTCTCGCTAATATATATATACAATTATTATTATTTTAAGTTTGCTATCGGGCATGTGTGCTCACCAGAGAGAGAGAAAAAGTGAGAAAGCAAGCCATCAGTCAAACCACAAGTGCCCAAAACTTAACAGGAGGGAGAAATGAAGAAGGGATTGTGACATGACCACACCCCATTGAGAGGTGCTTTCTCCCTTTCTGTTTCCCTAGGTTGACCATATGTGCCCTCTGGCAATTAGAAAGAATCCTCTATTTTCATTTAACATAATATTGTAAACTCTCGTATCTTCCCTTTCTTGGTAAATGCATGGTTATAAGACAGCTACTCCACATGTAGCACCATATCCACATTCCAGAAAAAAAGAGGAAAGGGCCAAAAGTATACATGCCCATTGTGCCTGTCCCACCCCATCCCCACTTTAGAAAACTGAGAAACCCAATCTAAGAACTTTTGCTTCATTGATAAGGAAGATAGAATATGTAGAGTTTGGAAGTTTTTATTATTATTTTTTTTATTCCTTGTTTTACTTGTTTTTCTTTTGTTACGCTGGGTAGCTGATCTTATTTCTTCAGTAAGATCAGGCTTTTCATAGCAATAATGGAGGAGGTAATGGATATTGGGTTAGCTGCACATATGACTAATATTTTAAATATTCTTGAAGGACTTTCAATTTTGTGGGAAGTTAAAATACCACTTAAATGAAAAATTGTTTACATATATATGTACTTGTGTATTTATATGTATCTATATGCACATATATGTATTACGTAAAACCAGTTAGTGCAAAAGATAAATTGTACCATTTGCCATATTAATAAGGTTCCAGGTTAGTAGGTCTTTGACAGATATTTGCCAAGGGAAAAAAAAAATCACATACTGAAAAAATAAGGCACTTCAGGAACAAACACCAAGGCACCTAAACACAACTTTTACTTATTTTATTTTGCCATAGAGTGAGCAAGCTCACAGAGAAAGTCGGAGAGACAGAGATGGAGAGGGAGAAGCATGCTGCAATTTCTTCATTTCTCCATCCTTTTCAGGATTTGGGCCATATATGTGCCAGAGAGTGCTTTTCAAGCCCTCAGGGCATGAGGGACTCAAATTGTGCTGTCAATTATGTGGTGATACCACCCCTTCACTACAAGGCCACAGGCTGGCCCCAAACATGGCTTTTAGATGTCACATTTTATCCTTCTCCAAAGGAGACCTTTCTTGGAGGACAGAAATGAGAAATGAGTCAGGATTTCCCCTGGCCCAGATGATAAGGTCAGAGCTTACAGGGCCTGCTCTTCACCTGTCATGGGAGGTCAAGAGGGCTGAGCGGTATTGTGTCCCCACATATGACTGTAAGTGACATATAGTCACAGACACAGTCACCTGAAATCTGTGCTGCACAGTCATACACTCACCACTGGACACGAAGTAACTCCCTTAGAAACAAACACCGCCCAACACACATACACACACACAATGCTGCATACAATCGCAATCCTCACGGGGACAGAATCACAGCCACACAGCTTTAACCTACACACAAAGAGGAACACATGGTCACACAACCACACCTACACACTCCAGGGCCATATAATCACACACACACACACACACACACCCTCAAACACAGCGTCGCACACGGTGGCACCCACATATGAATGCTGCCCATATCCGCACACAGGGTGTCACAGCAGTCGCGATCACACACACACACACACAAACACACACACACAATTTCACAATCGCCCCTCGCCAGTCCGTCGGGCTGCAACAGACCCCATGCTCATCTCAGTCCCCGCCCCAGGACACGTCAGCCTGCAGTCACCGCCCCAAGCCGTTGGAGCCCAGCCCCCGGGTCCAGGGCCGCTCTCCTCGGAGCCGCTCGCCGGGTCGGGAGCAGTCGCCGGCTCCGCGCCCTCTGGGGCAGTTTGGTTCGGATCCGCGCAGCTGCAAAGATGGCGTCCGGCTGGAGCCCCGCGGAAGGGGTCGCTCGGGATCCCTGAACAGCGCCTCGGGGTCTCCTGGGGGTTCTGGCCGAGCCCTGCAGGGTGGCTCCCCCACGAAGGGAGCCCAGGGTTTCAGAGCTGACCGTAACCCCCTTGGCTCACCTCTGCCCTCTCCCAGAGATCAACCCCGGTAGAGGGTTTGAGTCCTGAGACTGCCTCCTCCCGGCTCTGCCCCCGCCAGGCAGTCCCACAAACTCCGGCGGAGGAAGGAAAGTTCTAGCGAAAAACAGACTCGAACCACTGAACCTTCTGGGAAGTGTAATCCATAGTCAAAAAAAAAAAAAAAAAAAAAGAAGACGGGCCAGGAAAGGTGGATTCGTTCCGGCGTTGAACCCGAGCCTGGCGAGGCTAGGAGACATCGGGCGGTAGCCGGCCGCAGGAGTGCGCAGGCGCAGACCCTGGCTCGCCATCGTCGTCTTTGTCTGCTGGTGAGTTTGGTTTCGGCTCTGTGCGCCCTGGGTTTGGGGGCCCCCATCCAGGCTGAGAACTCTGTAAGGGGGGTATCCCTATCCCAACGCTGCGACAGGGCTGGGGGACCTGGAGGGGAGGAATGGCCTCTTGTGACGTGCGATGCTGAGAACTCGTGTGGATGGGGGCAGGGAACAAAAGGAAGCAGGTGGGTGACCCAGGGTCTAAGTGGGTTTGTGAGGCTGTAGTGTTAGTGAGAAACTGCTTCCAGGTATGTGAGGATGGCTGGGTAGCTTTGGGAAGTAGTAACCTCAAAGCTTCACTTTTCTCATTTCCGAAATAGTGATGAGAATATATTTTTCTGGGACAAAGGAGGCAAAAGACGAACGAATTGAACTGATTGGTTTTATAAGTGATTTTTTAGGTAAAATCAGACCCATTGTGAGGGAGAAGAAAAATCAGCATTATTTTAATTTGATTATTATTATTTTTAAAGAGTATAGATTTCTATACTAGGTGTCCAAACTAACAGTAGGTATCGACTTTTCTTAATACTTTGGAAGAAACTTTGGTGAGGCTGCTTTGGGAACTGCTGATCTAAAGAATAGCTTAAAGAGGTAGTATCCACTAGTGTAGACAGCAGAGCTGGGAAGCTAATTGTCCTGCCTTTGGCAAAGAGAGGTCAAGAAACCTATTTAAGGGGCCAGCACATGGCAGGAGGTTAAGGTGCTGGACTCCCACGTGGCTGACCGCAGTCTGCAACCCAGGGCCTTGAAAATCAAGCCTGGAGTCTATGCCTGTGTAGAAGGAAGTCCGGTCTGGCCATTCCCTCTGGGTAGCGATTTCTTACTTTCCCTGTATGTCACTTTCTCTAGCAAAGCATGCGCCCTATAGCAAAAACCTATAAATAAAATTTTTTTTAAAAAGAAGAAACCCATTTAAGACTCCCTAGTTTGTCAGTGAGCATGACAGTCTGACTCGTAATTACTACTTTGACCAGGTTTTCTCAGGGCCAAATGGCCTTTGCAAATGCAACAACATACTTTCTTACTTATAAAATGAAAAAATAAAGTACCAGGATACAAAAATTCATAAGTAGAAATAATAGTTTTGTTATATATATAAAAAATAAACAGTAAAAGTTATAAGGATTTAATGTTTTGCTTATCCTATAACTATTGGTGTGCCTGAGTTTCTGGCTTTGATCATCACCTTTAAGTACTCTAAGCAACAACATTCCACTACTATGGCTTCATTTGACACAGTTGACTAATAAATATCCACTTTTTTTTTCCTTTTTTCTGAGAGATTTTTGCTATAGGGCATGTGTGCTTGCTAGAAAGACAGAGACAGACAGAGATAGAAAGTGAGAAATCACCCCCCCCCCCAGGGGGGATGGCCACGCCGCAATCCCTTCTCCTCCATTCTCCTCTCTGGATCTTGGGCACGCATGCACATGCGCCCAGTGTGAGTTTAAGCCACCGGGTCCGGGATTCAAACCACGGTCGACTACATGGAGTCCAGCGACATAGCCATTATGCTAACTGCTAGTCCCTCCCCTTCTAGTAGCGGATGGTCCTGAGCTCCTGATCCATATATCCAAGTACCTAATGGCTAACTTCACTTGGAGGTTGCACAGGCACTTCAAACTCTGTCTAAAATGTAATACTGGTAGGTCCTTCTTCTTGCAATCTGCCTTCATCTATTTCCCTTTCTGTACTACCTTTTTCAGCAAGTCATAGTGCCGTCCATGAGGTTCTAGGCTCTCATATCTGAATAAGAGAAGAGCCTCTGAGTAAGTTTGATGCATTCTTTTGTCATATCCCATTACAAACTGAAAATCAAGGTTTCGTCACTAATCATAAATGATAAATATAAATGTTTGCTGAGTCAATGAAGAAGTATGTAATTACATAGTACACTTTTCATAACTAATTCCTCCAAGAATAACAATTTCTCCAAGGTAAAAATATTGGGCCTGTAAAATTTTGAAAAGTTCTGACCTACGGATACTAGCAGAATAATTTCCTATATATTTTGTCCCTTATCACTCAGCACTAATGACTCCCACTTATGAGAAAATTATTGTTTCGGAGAAAATGATATTCAAGAATGTGACTTCATTGGGAACCAGCAGTTAGCGTAATGGCTATGTCGCTGGACTCCCACGTAGTCGACTGCGGTTCACGTCCCGGACCCGGTGGCTTAAAACTCACGCCGGGCGCGTGTGCGTGCGTGCCCAAGATCCCGAGAGGAGAATGGAGGAGAAGGGATTGCGGCGTGACCATCCCCCCTGGGGGGTGATTTCTCGCTTTCTGTCTCTATGTCTCTCTCTGTCTGTCTGGCGAGCGCACGCGCCCTACAGTGAAAATCTCTCAAAAAAAAAAAAAAAAAAGAATGTGACTTCATTCAGAAGCAAAGCCGTAAGTGACACCTGCCCAAAGGAATCTATACAGTTGTGATTCTGGAGAATTCTGGCAACTCAAGTCTCACAGTTGCTCAGTATAACCTAAATTTTTAAAGTAAAGTACCTTCTGTTTCCCATTTCTGAAATGTGCGAGCTTTTAAATGGTATAATGGGTTTGGCCCGAGAAGCAAAGTACAAATAGCTCTTTTTCCATTTGTTCATATGTACACATAAGCCAGAGTCATTGTCCCTTTGTTCTTTTTCATAGGCCAGCTTCCTATGCATCCCCAGGAGCTGCACTTTCCTTACCCTTCAGTGTGTCAAAGTTCTAAGAACATAGCCTGAATTCTAGGCTATTGCTCTGACCCAACTGTACATCCAAGTACTTTGTCACTTTTCTATTTACAAGCTTAAAGTCACCATTTGAAAGAAAGAGCAATAATGAATGAGGAAGAAATATAAAGAAGGCTTTCTTTAGGAAAGTGAGAACCTGGCAGGAATTAATGAGATAAGGACTCATTACAGTTATTCAATGAGAGCTGGTAACCTCTGAAATTTTTAGATATTTAAAAAATTTTTTCTCTAGTCTTTTGGAATGATTGTGCTGTGATTTCTTTTTCTTTTCTCTCTCTTTTTTTTTCTGAGAGATTTTTTTGCCACAGGGCATATGTGCTTGCTGGAGAGACAGAAAGTGAGAAATTTTCCCCCGCCCCTCCCCAGAGAGGATGGCCATGCCAAAATCCCTTGTCCATTCTCCTCTCAGGACTTTGGGCATACATGCACATATATACCTGGTGTGAGTTGCAAGCTGCCAGGATGTGAACTTCAGTCTGCTATGTGGGAGTTCTACACCATAACCACTATGCCACCTGCTGGTCCTGGGAATTCCTTAGATAGCTAAATGACATTTCCAGAGACTCTTCCTGAATTTATGCTTTCTTTTTCTCAGATTCTAAAGGACTGTTGGTCTCTCTAACTTCTATTATGGATGTTAACCTCTCTACCTCATTTGCAGCCTCAATTTTATTTTTACTACTTCGTTTTCATGTTTGTTTTTTCTCACTAACATTTTCTTTCTTTTTTAAGACAGATTTTTTTGTAATAGGGCACTTGCACTTGCCGGAAAGAGAGAGACAGAGAGACAGAAGGCGAGAAATCACACACACACACACACACACACACCCCATAGGGGGATGGCCATACTGCAATCCCTTCTCCTTCATTCTCCTCTTGGGATTTTGGGCAGTCATACATACATGTCTGTCGTGAGCTTTTTACTTTTCCCATTATATCTCACTTTGTTAAGCATCCAACCCTTCTTAGATCTGTAACCCTTAAAAAAAACTAGTATATAGAATTTTTTATTTAGAATTTAACTTTTTTAGCTGTAGTAGTATAGATGGTAGGATGCCATTGCATGATGCTGGACTCATGAGAAGGCCCAGGGTTTGAATCCTGGGTCAACCTGCACACACTGGGTGTACCTGTGATCCTGGCTAGCTGGAAAGGTGAACTTAAAGAAGGATCATAACATAGTAAAATCCTGTTAGGGGTCTTGGCTTTTCTCTCTCTGAAGAAATAATAAGGGGCTGGCAGGCGGTGTGGTGGTTACAGGCATTGGATTCCCACATGCCCAACCACGATTCAAGTCCTAGACCTGGCAGGTTGCTTTCCCACTTTCCCTTTCTCTGTTTCTGTCTGGTCAAATTAAAAAATAGTGGGACCAGCAGTTGGCATAATGGTTACGTCACTGGACTCCCATGTAGTCAACCGTAGTTCAAGTCCCAGACACAGTGGCTTAAATTCACGCCAGGTGCTTGTGCATGCATGCCTAAAATCCCAAGAGGAGAATGGAGAAGGGATTACGGTGTGGCCATCCCTCTGGGGGGTGATTTCTCACTTTCTCTCTGTCTCTGTCTTTCTGGGGAGTGCACGTGCCCTAAAGCAAAAACTAATCCAAAAAAATTTTTTAAAATACTAATAATAATAACAAATGCAATTAAAGAAATAAATAATTTTTTTAAAATGAAATAAACGTAAAAATGGTTTCTGTTTTATGATTTCTTTTCTTTTCTTTTTTTTTTTTAAAGAATTATTTTAGGGACCAGCAGTTGGAGTAATGGCTATGTCGCTGGATTCCCATGTAATCGACCACAGTTAGTTCTGGACCCCGTGGCTTAAATTCATGCCAGGTGTATGTGCACCCAAGATCCCGAGAGGAGAATGGAGGAGAAGGAATTGCAGTGTGGCCATCCCCCTGAGGGATGATTTCTTGCTTTCTATCTCTTTATCTCTGTCTTCCTGGCAAGCGCACATACCCTATAGAAAAAACCTCTCAAAAAAAAAGAAAAGAAAAGAAAAGGATTATTTAATTAATTAATTTATTTATTTTTAAAATTATTTATTTAATTTTATTTATTCATTCATCCATTTTAATTTGACCAGAGGGAGAAAGAGTGAGAGAGAAAGTGAGAAAGCAAGCCACCAGGTCCAGGACTTGAACCACAGTCAGCCATGTGGGAGTGTCTAGTGCCTTAACCACCATGCCGCCTGCTGGTTCCTATTTTTTATTTTTCACTTGAGTTTTGCCAGACAAAGACAAAGAGAGAGAGA